ATAGCCGTTATAGGCTTTCTGTTGCGGGGGGAATCGATTCTCAATGAGTGGGAATGGATTCCCAACTTTTCCAGAGAGTGGGAATCAATTCCTGCTCATAAGGAATCGATTCCCAACCTATTGGAAAGGTTGGAAATACGATAGCAATAACATTGTTTCGTATTTTGCGCATAACTTGAGCTATTCTTGTCGGATTGATGTGATCTTGGTCTCGTTGGAAAGATAAAATAAATATCTACAACTTTTATGACGAACACAAGATCTAAATCCATCATCTTGGATACGAAAAATTATATTGAAGACAGAAGCAAAATTATTCAGCAAATTCTAAGTTCAAATGTGTTCTAACTTGCTTCCAACCAATTTTTATGAAAGATCTTGACTTGATAGATATGTTTTGAAGTTATAAAACATGTCAAGGACCTTTTTCATGGGTTTTTAAATTTATTTCAAGTATATAAAGGTTTTGATTATGCAATTCGAAAAACACATTTACTTTAAGAAAAACTTTGAGCTCATGCAATACAATCTATCATATACCCTCACATATATTCTAAGTCCTAAAGATATATTCTAAATATGATTTTAGACTTAGCTTCATGTCTTGTGTCTTGGATCTTTACTTGAGCTAGATGCTTTGACTTGTTGGATATGACAATGCTTGACACTTTGTTGGTTTTGATCATTTTTCACCATGGTTATGATATTGAGTTTCTCTTAGATGTTGTCAATGGTTTGTTGTCTTTGATCTTAGTGTTGGTCTTCTAAATATTTCTTGTTGCTCTTGATCCAATCATCTTGCCACTTTGATATGTCATTACTCTTCTTGTGTGGCTATATCATACGTCTTTAATATCCACATAGGGTTGATGCTTTTTGCTCTTGATTAATGCTATGCTCTTTTTGTTGTTGTCACTTTGTAATCATTAAAACATAAGTTGTATCTACATTGTCTACACACATTTTTACTCTATAATTTTCATTGACTGCACTTTTTACCTTAAAAGTGACCCCAATTTATTTAATTAGATATTTTACCTAATTCAACTTATTAATATAAAATTAATTGCATATATTAAGCCTAATTACATGCAATTAATTAAATCTTATAGTGAGGGATATTATACCTCGAGTAAGAACCCGCACCGTTAATTAAAGAATTTAATTAATAAATTATGAGAAAATAGGAAATGATTCCATAATTGACCCTAATAATTATTATGAGGCTTTAATAATTATAGTAAGTGAGTAATAATGCTAAAAGTCGCTTTTTGGAAGAAAAGTGCAGATACCGATTCTGTTAGCCAGTATAAATGAGTACCGAAAAAGTATCCCGAAAAATTAATATAAGTGCATGATAATTACTAGAATGATATATAGGACTTGTAAAACGAGTTTCAAGTCCAAATAATGAGAACTGGTGCTAGAAACCGGTACTAGCTTGGAAAAGCGCGTACTGGAAAGGTGCTCAGAAAATTATAAGAAAAATATGATAATTCTTGTAAAATTGAGTAGGTTAAGAATCCAGAGTTTGGGATTAAAATGCTAAGCGTAGATTTAAAGTTAATACTGGGTGATTAATGGTTAAACCGCTATAAATAGCCTTATGATTGGCACATAACCCTAGGACCTCAGTTTTTGTGTGTGAATGGCTGCTGAGTGTGGGTCTCCTTGCTGACTTGGTGTCTCCTTCACTTGCCTTCACCATTTCTTGAGCTTTGAGGCCATTTCCTTCACTTATTCTTCTCCTAAACACTTGTGGTGAGTGAGAGTGGTCTTTGGGAGTGTGTTGGTGGCATTTTTCTGAGTTGAGGGTGCTGACCTTGGTGGGTGGAGCTGTTGTTTTGGGTTGTTTGGGTGGTTGGAGTCTTGTTCTTGGCTTGTGAAGCTTCAAGAAGCTTCTTTGTGAAGAAAGGACCAACCTTTGTGTTACATTTTCGTACACCTTATTTCCAGAACCTGTAGAGGCAGTGTGGTGAGCTCCATGAGCCATTGATCCTCTGTTTTGAGCTTTGGTGAGTTGTACCTACCTTGAGCTTGTGTTTTAATGGGTTAAAGGTGTGATCTTTTCATGTTTAAAGGGTTAGTCAAGTAACCAACTAGGGTGTGGACCTTAATCAGTATAAAGATACATGTTTTAACGTAATTAAGTGTTAAAAATGGAACCTTGGAAGGATATCTTCACGAAATGCATTTTCTGCATTCTATCGTGAAATATCCGGATATGTGCCCGAGGAATATCCGGATATGTGATATCCGAATATGGGTTTTGAGTATCCGGATATCAGATATCCAGATATGGGATTCTAGATTTGCATATCCGGATATGTCCAGTGAGATATCCGGATATGGTCCCGAGGAATATCCGGATATTCTGGGATTTCGAAGAACAGTAGCTATGTTGTGTGTACAGTAGGCTATTGGGGGTTTGTGGACCCTAGATTGATGAAGTGGAACTTCTGTAATTAATGAACTAAGTCAGAATCGCTGTGATTAAGGACTTATGGCTTGGTATGGAGCCTTAAGACGTAAAACGTAAGGAAATGTGTTGTCTTTAATTTATATGCTTGTGTCGCATTATTATTGATATAGTATTGGTCCATAACAGATTGTGAATCTGCTGTGTTTGGACTTTGAGCTGTGGACTCTTGGCCTTGGGTGTTAGCTTGCAAGGTAAGCTTTCGTGTCCTCGGTTTAGCCATGTTGTGGTTCCACCATGTCCCATGGGGGTGTGGTTGTATGCATGTTGTGTTACATGCTTTGAATATTTGAAATGCTGATGAGCTTTATGTGTAACGACTTTTAATATGCATGTGTTGTTTCATCTTGACGGTAAGCCTGAGTATGTAGCGTCATACGATACGGTGATCCGGGGTGAATGCAAGTAGCGTCTTGCACTAGTGTGGGTATTTGGCGTATGTAAATCTTGCATTTCTCTGGCCAATAGAATAGAATTGACACACATGACATGATTATCTGCTGCATTGCACTATTTTAGAACTGATGATGATATCTGCTTTTAAACTTATATTGCACATGTAAGTGAGCTTGGGGTGGAAGATCCTTGAGGACCCCTTGTCTTACTGAGATTTCTTGTTTAGAGATCTCACCCCACGTTTGGGGAATGCTTATTTCAGGTTCCGGTAGTTTGGTGACTGATGCCTCTGGCGGCAGGAGGCCAGAGCTTAGTTGATGATATTATGTTGTTTGCTGCCATGACTGGTTATGGATGCTGTTTATGTTTTCCATTATTTATGTTTACGTTGTTGTTGAGACTGATGTTGGGCGTGTTGCCTTATTTGAGTAAGCATAGGGATTGTCCATGACACTTTATTTAGTGCTTTAGATTGGAGTTGTATAAACTGTTAGATGGTCTGGTCTACGTTGTTGTAGTTCCGTGACTAGAGCCACACTTTTATTATCTATGTTATGAGGTATATTCAGATAGCTGTTTTATTGCAATTACATACAGGCGTTGTTTTATTAATTGATTAATAAGCAAGTTGGTAATGATAATGACATCATAATTGAAAAGAAAAAGATATTCCGCATTTTTATTAAGCGCTGCTTAATACGATAGTATGATAACATTGCCGGATATATACGGGGTGTTACACCTCGCAGCATGCACAATTCATGGCTGATCTTGCTAGCAGATCCATTTGTCAGCTGAAATCATTGAATTTTACATTCTTTATGTCGGAGGGATTTGACATAGTGGCATTGTTGGAGGTGTCACATCTGATAGTGTTGGCTGAGATTCTCTGTCCCTATTCAGAAGTTATGGTAAATGCCTTCTATCATAATCTCAGCTATATATAGGGTGAGCTGAGGTCCTGCATTTGCGAAAAGGATATACTGATGACCGCTCCGATATGGACAGAGTTATTAGAGCACGACTTTGATGCTCAGCCTAAGTAGAGTATGATGTAGATAGTTTGGTCCCACGACACACACACATTAGTTAGAAGGTAATTGAGCAGAAACACTAATATAGATACTATTTTACATATTATTTACATAAACCTTCTTACAAATTAATACAAAATTTTATATTCAGGACCTATTTCTTTTAGTGTTTGGTTTATTTTTAATTACTATTATTGTGATAAAATAAATCTCTTAAAGTAAGGGTTTAAATGGCTTGAGCCGGGTTAGACTTTGACTTAAATAGGCTAGACTTGTATAAAATATTTTCAGCCTAGTCTGATCTGTTAACCTGATATAGATCAAATTATAAGTATAGCTTGACCTATATTTTTAAAATAGAAGGTCTAGCTTATGCCTCTTTAAGCATAAGAATTGAAAAGATATTTAAAATAATATTTTTTTATTATTTAAAATTATTTAACTAATAATTTAATTTAAAATAAATATTATAACATAGGTAAACCTGTAAATTTATAGGTCGGACCTTGTAAAAAAAGAAGAAGACTATAACCTGTTTTCAAATAAGGTTTTTAAAAGCTTGAATATGTTCAATTTTACTATATATAATAAGTAGTTTGACTTGATGTAGGCTAGATCATAAATTCCAATAGACCATCTGACACATTTACACCTTTATCTTAAAGTCCTATAAGATGTTAGATTCAACACTTAAACCTCAAGTTATATAATTATCATGAGTGGAAGATAGACCATATAAATTAATTTCGTCGATTATTGAACGCAATATTAGAATAAATGTAGGTTTAGATTTGTATATATCAAATTTATTTATTTTAAAAAAAAAAATTCAAAAGAGAAATTTCGACAAATCTCATTTTCATCAATTTTAGTTATTGTAAAACAAATAAAATACATCGTATTAATGACGATGTTGATGGGTGAACCAATTGACATTAATTAGAAATGTGTAGGGTTACTACGGTACGGTGACCACCGGAAGTTATCCAACACCAACAATTTCCCAATTTTCATTTTCCTGTTTTTTACAATAAAAAAAGATGGTCCACTTGGGTTTGTCGTTGACAACTGGTGTCTGATAGCCACACGAGCTTTACCATTAGCAAAACCAACGTTCTTTCTTATGTCTATGGTTTTCTGGTTCCTTAACTTGTGCAAATGAGTTCTTCCAATGTTTTTTCGTTTTCTCCCCTTCCTCTGCTCCACGGTAAGCCATCAACTCTACTTAGCTCATTAACACAACACACCGATAAATTCAGTCAACCTGAATAATTGTCGGTTGCTGTTATTATTGTGCCTTCATTGTTGCTGCATCTAGTTGGTGTAACTGTTCAAAGTGATAAATTGAACATCTTTCAGGAACATTCTTCTTCTTGTGTGTTATTTAGTGTGACCCAGATGGTGTTTTGAGTACTATTTTAGAGATTTATTAAGGATTTTGAGAGATTTTTAAGATATCTATGGATACTTTGCTCAAAACACCTAACAAGCTTGAGTTTTTGCACCCACTTCATGGTTATTCAGAAAAATTGAGCAATTCATGTTCCTCTAAGTTGCAAAACCAAGAGCTTAGATTTGGTTCCAAGAAACCACTAGTGAAATGGGGTAAACGTGGTGGTTTGAGGGCCAGTTGCAGTGCCCTTCTGGAGCTTGTTCCGGAAATTAAGAAGGAGAATCTGGATTTTGAGCTTCCTTTGTATGATTCATCAAAGGGAGCTGTGGTAGACCTTGCTGTTGTGGGAGGAGGACCTGCAGGGCTAGCAGTTGCACAGCAGGTTTCTGGGGCAGGACTTTCAGTTTGTGCCATTGACCCAAACCCCAGATTAATTTGGCCCAATAATTATGGTGTTTGGGTGGATGAATTTGAAGCCATGGATTTACTTGATTGCCTTGACACCACTTGGTCTGGTGCTGTTGTCTTCATTGATGATAAAACCAAGAAGGATCTAGATAGACCTTATGGTAGGGTCAATAGGAAGCAGCTGAAGTCAAAGATGCTGCAAAAATGCATATCAAATGGTGTTAGGTTTCACCAAGCTAAAGTTATCAAGGTTATTCATGAGGATTCCAAATCTCTGCTGATTTGTAATGATGGTGTCACTGTTCAGGCAACTGTGGTTCTAGATGCAACTGGCTTTTCTAGATGCCTTGTTCAGTATGATAAACCATATAATCCAGGTTACCAAGTTGCATATGGTATTTTGGCTGAGGTTGATGAACACCCTTTTGATGTAGATAAAATGCTTTTTATGGACTGGAGAGATTCACATCTGAACAGTGACATGGAGCTGAAGGAGAGGAATAGCAGAACACCTACCTTTCTATATGCAATGCCCTTTTCATCCACCAAGATATTTCTTGAAGAAACTTCTCTTGTTGCGCGCCCCGGGTTACGAATGGAGGATATACAGGAAAGAATGGTTGCTAGGTTGAAACACTTGGGCATTAAAGTGAAAAGCATTGAAGAAGATGAGCACTGTGTCATTCCCATGGGTGGCCCCCTCCCAGTTCTTCCACAGAGAGTTGTTGGAATTGGTGGTACTGCTGGGATGGTGCATCCTTCAACTGGGTATATGGTAGCAAGGACCCTAGCTGCAGCTCCTATTGTTGCTAACTCTATTGTTCAGTGCCTTGGTTCTGATAGAAGTCTTTCAGGTGTTGAATTGTCTGCACAAGTGTGGAAAGATTTATGGCCCATCCAAAGGAGGCGCCAAAGGGAGTTCTTCTGTTTTGGTATGGACATCTTACTCAAGCTTGATTTGCCAGGCACAAGGAGATTTTTTGATGCGTTTTTTGATCTGGAACCTCGTTATTGGCATGGGTTCTTATCATCAAGACTGTTTCTTCCTGAGCTCTTGTTTTTTGGACTCTCTCTATTTTCTTATGCTTCTAATACATCTAGAATAGAGATTATGGCAAAGGGAACTCTTCCTTTGGTAAACATGATCAACAACTTGATACAAGATACAGAATAAGATGACTTCCTACTAATCTGTTGTATGCTATTTATGTTTTGCGCTTCCACCTGCAGTTTACTACTGATATTATAAATTTCCAGAAAAGTATATTATATATCTTGGTTTAATTCATATTATTCTTTGCTCTCGGTAATTCCCTCTGGGACAAATAGCATTACTCAAACTTTCTCTATTTTAAGCCTATCACTACTTGCATTTGGCAAACCTTTTCTTGCTATGGATAAGATAAAAATTCGTTTGTCATTATCGGTTTATCTTTATATTGTTGAAGAATCTCACTCTTTTGCTGCATTTAGAGAATGCTTGGGCCAAATCTATTAATAACTGTATGATGTGGTTACTTCTCTTCAGCACTACCAAGTTGCCTTGCCCATCACATGTAAACCTTGTTAAGTCACCCTTTATTATTGAAACGGCAACATGACTTGTGAATTGCAATTTTCTCGTATGTCTAAATAGATATGTCTCCATAAGCTATAATAGATAAGTCGCCGGACTTCATTTTTAAGGTCTGGTCAGCGGTCACCACTTACATTAATTTGAAAAACTTGAAGCATACAGGTACATTGAACGAACTTGGTGCCGTGGAAGTTATTGCATCATACCGAACCATTCTTTCCTTTGAAAACATTTAACTTTGTTTAACATCTAACTTGAATGTGGGACCTTTATGACTTTCAAACATATCAAGTGCGGCAGTTAAATAAAAGAAGCTCGGAAATATTAGAAATGACAAGCATAACACACGCGGACGCAACTCTTAGTGGCCAAGTGTTTATTTCAATAGAGAAACATCAACCCTTTACATGCGTGCGTATCCATGATCCTAAGCGTAAATAACTGTCATGCTATGCTTATTGGCCAAACCCTAACAGAAACAGTAGCATCAAGAAAAGGACAAGAAAGTTGCTGTGGCCAAACATTCCCGCAAGATTCGCTAATCTCAAAGAAGAACAAGTTTACATATTGTAAACAGAAAATTCTACTGAAATCAGATTTTAGCTTAAAAAGGTAAAATCCTCATCTCCAGATTCAGGAAAGCTCTCGGCTGCGCTTAGCAGCAGCAACAACAGCATTCATCAGTGTTCCACGGAACCCACCTTTTTCCAACTCATGAATGCCCGCAATTGTTGTCCCACCAGGAGAAGTAACGTCATCCTTGAGCTGTCCTGGGTGCTTTCCAGCACGAGTGACCATTGACGCCGCTCCCAATACCTGGAAAACACATACAAACATATACACGAGTCAATAAAACAACCATAGGAACAATCTTTTTAAAAATGTAAGTACCCTAAGCTTACAAATGCAGAAGATTTGCCCGTACAACATTATGTCCAGTACAATTCTTGCTTCCAAATTCAAGCAGCAGAAATTGCATTCACTGTAACCTTATTTATTTAATTTTTGTCTTCCTTGGAGTGCTAGTTTATGCCTGTGTGCAAGCATACGTGTTGTTTAATTAAAACCAGTAAAAAGTTGCGGCCAAGTCTAAGCTGCTTCTACACAATTTGGATGCACTGGTGTAATATTAGACTTGGCTTTCTGCGATCTGTTGGCCGATATAAACTAGATGGTTTAGATTGATTTGACTGGTTACTTGCTCAACCTGTCCAGTAAACACAGCAACATAGCTGACACTTGGTAAATTACGTGAATCAAATTCCTGATTCATTTTTGGAGACCTTTATCTAGTATAGACTATGAGTTATGTTTACTGGACTTATACACAGTACAGCTAATGATAACATTCTAAGCATTTAATCCAGAAAATGTTACACTGAAACTTAAACCATTCTTCAGCTTACTTATAAAGCCAGAAAAAGTTCCCATCCTGGCAAACTGGAAATACCATGCTACAGAAACTTGAAACAATTTTACTCTTCTAAAAGTTAAAAAAGACCAATTGCAATATATCTAATGCATCCCATATTCTTTTCTTTATATGTGGTTTTTTGACATAATGGGATAAGAAAAGAGATAGAAAGCATCACATGAATTATAAAAAATCAAGAGAAATAAAGTATGAACTTCCCGTATTAAATGGTCAAAGGATAGTATTTCACTTCACTTACAGTCTGAGAAGCTAGACTTAATGAAAGATCGCGAGGTAGACCAGCTGCTACTCCTCCATCAGCCAAAGCCTCTATTGCTAAATAAATATAAGCAGGACCGCTGCCACTGAATAATTGAGGAAAAATAATTTTTTTCGTAAATACATTAAAATTGTTTTCCAAATAGACAAATCTGCAAAGAGTATATATGCTTGTCTAAAAGGCTTGCAGGAATGAGTATAGCCATTATCAGAACTCAGAAGCTACACCAAGACAAATTTTAAAAAATAGGGGCAAAGTTCACAAATCACTTGAACAGGTGAGGTGAAATCAATTTACAAGGCTCCCTGGGATTGAAAGTACAATCATTATATAAAGAAGGAGAATAAGAAAGGCGTGGTCCGCGTGGAGTTAAGGCAGAGGCCTGAATTCAATTCCCATGTACACACAACCAAAAAGGAAAAAAGAATAATAATCACCCAGCAGAATATTCATCTCAGACACTCTTCTTTTGTTCTTTCAAATGTATATAGCCTAAAATTGCATGGCTTCATCTCTTAACTCTAAGAAAATTTCCGTCCATCAAAGATAAAATGAAAATTTCTAGTGGATTTCTTAGATAGTATCCAAATTTTATTATATCATTTTTATAAAATGAGATCTACATACCTCAGGCCAGTTATTGCATCAAAATACTTTTCATCAGCTTTCCATATTTTGCCAATTGACCCAAATAATTTGGCTATAAGGTTTCCATCTTCTTCTGTTGCAGCTCCCCCCAAGCTCATAACTGCCATAGTTTAACTTGAGTTAATCTGTTCAAGCAACTCTCTTAACAGTCATCAATGTGAATTGATAAAGAAAGAAACGCAATAAGGAATATCCATTGTTTTCAAGAATAATACACAAGACACAGAATTACCATAGTGTGTAAGAGAAGGCATTCTTGCTCTTGTAATTTATGAAAAGAGTACTCTTGATAATTGAGACTATTTACCACGCAATTCAAGCATCCAGAAAAAAAACAAAAAGAAAAAAGAACCAAATGCTAACTGCATGTGAGAGCCTTTCAACCCCACTCTTTATAAAAGTGAAGAACAAAACCGCTAAAGCAGACTATAATAATTTTATCATATTTGTTTTCACAAGTTAAAAGATTTTTGCAGTTAGAAATTTAAAGAAACAAGCAAGTGATAGACTAATGGCATCAGAATCAAATTTAAAAACAAAACTAATGAACAAAAAGCAATAATAATAAGCATAATTGACAGTTTAGAATTCAGAAAGTCAATTATGGAACTACTAAGTTATACAAAAAAGTCACACAGCATATGTTCTCAACTCTCAGCATAAAGAAAGTAACTGAAGAACAAAACACAATATGCTCTTTAAAAAAAGGTAATACCTGATGCTGCCTCGCCAACACCGGCAGGAGTATTAGGCATTACCCTTATAAATCTGTCGTTCCCAGCCCATTCCTACATTTTATGAAACAACCATTTCCATAAAAATAAGCAACCTAATTAAATCTGTAATGCTAAAGAAAAGCGGAATATAATCACAAAGGGAAAAGCTACTTGCACAAACTATGTGAAATATGTGCACATGTAATTATCCAATGTTGGCTTGTGCAGGGAGTATTGAAGAGCGTGCAAGTATAAGTTTGTTCAAGTATCTTACTCAATCACAAACAAGTAGGCTATAATCTAGCTTTAATGAAACCAAGAACCCTTTGAATTTTTTATTTATTTATATTTTTTATAATTTTCTTAATATCCCCACATTCAGCCATAAATAAGAAGCTATTGCTATAAGTTTTTTCTCAACTCTTTTTTTTTATAGCCAATAATAACTATATGTTATGTTCCTATTGAAATTATACTCCAACAGCACAAGTACAAAAAGCAAAAAGCAAGAAAAAAGAAAGAAAGAAATATTGCATTCCAGAACCTGAAGATCTTTCAACTTGACTCCAGCAGCAACCGAAACCAAAAGCTTGTTCTTTGTGAGTAGCGGATTCAATTTCAAAACCACGTCCTTCACTGCAACAACACAACACAAAAACCATCGAAATAAAAATTTCCATTCAACGATTCAAAAGAATCGTTTAAGTGAGATTGAAACCGTGGAAGTACCTAACTGAGGTTTGACAGAGAAAACGACGACGTTGCTTTCTCGAACCACCTGCGAGGAATCAGAAGTGAGTTTTGAGTGAGAGGAAAAAGAGGAAAAGGAAAGTGAGGGAATACGTCGTCGTTTGAAGAGAGGAGTGTGACGCCGAGGGAGTCAAAGGCGGCGCGTCGAGCAGGGTTATTGTGAGAGGTTCGAATGCGAGATGGAGGCAAGACGCCCGATCGGACGGCGCCTCCGGCAATACTCTCGGCCATTTTTCCGGCGCCGATGAAGCCCAGAGTGTATGTATCGCCGGGGATTTGAACGATTTCCATTTTTGTTTTTCCTTGTTAAGTGGCAGAGAAATCAACCTCAACTCTCGAAGTGTCGTTGTTTATTATTATGATTTGAGACTATCTGATTTTTTATCTTTTCCTTATATATTCTCCAAGTAGCTAGCACCCTTATTATTTGCTCAAGAGTAATAGTTGTGATAATTATGAAATTAATATGCTAAAAAAATTGACTTTCATTTTACGAACAATGAAATCATAATCTAGGATTTCTTTAGAGTATTTTGGTCATTTTAACATCCCATAATTTTTAACAACAAATCATGGATAAACTCTTCACAGCTGTCTATAATCTAAATTAGTCTCGACGATAAATTTATAATTTATTGATTAAAATATTTGTAAAATGAAAAAGAGTGAACTGTCACTTTAACTGCTAATGCGATGTTAATCATTAATAAAAATTGCAGATGACTGAGTTCTTTTCATACGTGATAATAGACATGAGATTTCGAGATAAAATAAAATAACATTATCGAGTAATTTTTTAATTATTTCTGTTTATTTGAAAGAAAATAATTTATGTTACCTCAATTAAAAAATTAAAATCATTTAACTCTTTTTTTTTTTTTATTTCCTTCCAGACTCTTCTGTAGAAAGATACCTGAGAGCTCATTTTCGATGTTTCTGGAGCACATGCTCCTTTGCTAAAATAGAAAAAATAAAAGATAAGAGTGAAAATAATTATAAAGACAAAGATAATATAAAAATATTACTTTTTGTCATATTTAATAAATGATTTACTGAGTATTCAGTAATCCTGAAAATACTTTTGATATCCCAAAAATGTGTTTCATGTTTCCTTTTCAGTTCATCAATACAATAAGACATAAATGAAATCTCCATGACATACTTTTGCTAGTAAATATAGAAATTCATCGTCCCGTAGAATTAAAATTAAAAAAACTTCAACATTACCACAGATCAATGGAGATAGGAGATAATATCTCTATATACGTAATGCATGTTTGTTAAAAAATACTTCTTTAGGTTAAGTCCCACCCCAAAAAAAAAAAACAATTAAGTAAAACTATATCAATCTTTAATTGAATATAAAATATAATGTAATTTTAATTTGTTAGATTATTTTAAAAAAATGGATAAAGTTATACTTATTATCTTTTTTTACTATTTCTTACTATCAATCAAGGCAGTTAAAAACAAGATTTTACATAAAAATATATGGAGATAAAAAATTGTAAAACGTAAAATCATAACGTAAAAAAATTATAAAAACATTAAAAATATAGTGATAAATCAAAATTTTAACTACCAATCTTATTATAATTTTTTATTACTACCAACTTCATTATCTTGGATCAAAATCAAAACATAGGTCACAAAGTAACATCAACACAAAGTAACATAAAGTGAGAGCTATTAATTTTTTTATTTTTTTTTGATGTGTAGAGCTATTAATTTTAACCCTATATAAGTATAACATATCCCTAGCAATAAATACATTAACACTGAAATAGGATTCTTACGTTAATTTGTCCTCCAACTTGTTTTCAAGCTACGCAATTGTTGAGCTTCTCTTTTCAATACAATGAATTCTAACATTGAATATGGAGTTACAATAGTGCCATAATTTAACGATAAAGGGTAATGTTATTGTCCTATTACAGGAAATGAAGACATCTTCCAGCAGAGACAAAAATTTAAGAGAGAAAAAAAAAATTGAGGTGAGAATTTTTTTTTTCCATGAGCCCCATCTGTAGAATGTCTCTGGAGGAAGTTTATTTTATTTTGCTGTAACATAAGAATCGAATTACCCGTTAAAGTTAAATGGCTCAACAATAACATTGTTATAGCCTGCAATGTTTTGTCACGAAACAAAGTTGGTGAGATCTGGTGAAGACAACCCCACACTGCTTGTGTGACTTGTTGTCGCCATTCTCCTTGTGACTAATCTCACCCGTAAAGCTGAGAAAAGAAATGTGAACATTGCTAAAACTAACACTATCAAAGAAATCGCTAGTGGTCAGTTTGAGAGAAAAAAAACTTATGATATATTGATATTTGTCTTTATGACAAATTGCGGAAATCCATGAACGTGGGTGTAAGAGTCTATTTCAGAATTTCGAACTAGCACACACAAATCTTAAGAGATATATTGAATTGATGGTTTAGAATCACCAGCAGCATCACAGGCATTGACAAAATTAAACATATCCAATTACGTAAGGCTAACCTGAATTATAGGGAAAAGACTAAAAGGACAGAAGAGACAGAGTACATTTTAGCTGACAGGACTGTGATGTTGTTATATGATACAGAACATTAACCTGATACTCCTATTTAAACTAATAATCTAGATCTATGGAAGAAGCATAGCCTAATGACGCTGCTAACATAATAAGGCTCCTAGCCTCCAAACACAACAAAGATTCTAATATTTCGTCACACCCTTAGGTCCTTTAAGTAATCAATACAATTCCAGCAAGAAGTATAATCATAGTAGTTGTTTTGAATCCAGAAAATTTAATAAAAGAGTCATTTACAGCTTAGCTACTACCTATCTATGCACACAGGTGCCCCTTGCTTGAAATGGGTAGCACAACCATGATTCACCTAGCTGTGTATGGTTCGCATTAATTCGCCAAACTTAATAAGGGCCTTCCAAAGTGTCTAGTCTAGCCAGTTCTTCTTTTCTCGAAAGAAAGATCAAGATTTGGGACCAATGCTGCAATGTAGAAACATCGTTTCAGGAAATGTAGCGATTGACCGTCACATGCCTTTTCAAAGTAAGTCAGACCAATTTCGTTAGAAAATCTCGAAAGCCCACAACAATTAGAACACAACATTTTCTTGTCAATCTCAAACTGATAAGATAGTCCCACATCAAGTATGAAGAGTAAAACACAAATGTTTTTATATCTAAGAGCTGGGTTAGAAGAGCACGACCTTACTTGAACAGGATCTGTTCTATAGGCTCGTACCTCTGTATCCTTGAGTTCTAAGGAGACAGGAACCTAAGTCTGGTGGATGACCCAGGACCGTGAGATCTGAGCGTGATTGACGGCCTTGTGATTCCCTCGTAGGAGGTATTCATCCTCGGTTGTAGAGGATCGTTCTCAACTGGTATATCCTGGTTGGGTGGATCACACGGTTGTCTGACAGACTAAACTATTTTTTTTTCGTAGAAATGTCTTACTTTTAGGTGGATCACACGGTTGGTTGGGCAAATTTCCTATATACTTTGTGCTTGAGTTGAACAGAAAAAGACTATTGACTATTGTTCATGACCATTTGAAGTAGGGGGTTGCCACACCATTGGCATTTGGCTCCGCATAGGCTTGAACTTGTATAAAAGCTTATTTCTTGTTTAATTATAAATTATATTTATAATAGGTAATGACACATTTAAACACATACTTAATCTTTTAAGACCAAAGCTCGGCTCGACTCGGCCCATTAACACACCTAGTTGCCACGTTTAAAGGGTAATAGTGTACTTTAACACTCCGAAATAAGCCATGTGGCATATCTTGGGCTTTCAACTTTCCACATGCTTTTATGTTACAAGATAGGGGCCATTAACAGAGTGCATTGTTGAAAATTTGCATCCATCTTCTAAATACTTTCAAATGTTAATATTTTTTTAAATATTTTTTTAATATTTCATTTGCATGGAAACGCTCGATCCATCAATTCATTACGAAAATTCGAAGGAATTGATGAGCAAAACTCAAAAAAGTAAAATAAAACGCATGATCCATCAAACCCAACGGGAAGATTCAGAATCACACCTCCCAAAAGTCGAAACTTCCTATAGAGGTGGGCTTTGTTGCAGGTAATGTGCCACACCTTGGCTTTCTGTTGAAAGTCTTCACTAGCTATTCTCCAAGATGTGTTATCGTTTCAGTAACATGGAACCACATCCTCAAAGCCATCGCAAGTGAGCCAAGAACCCAAGAAGCGAAAAGGTTTGTTGCTAGAATCAGAAGCCAATCTTTTACCTTCCACACAAGTATGGGTATGTGATCCAAAGAGAAGAAAGGAAGGTGGAACACAAATCTTTCAGGGAAAAAATGACCCAAGTTTCTTTAACTAGGGTGTGATCCAACCTTTCTCTAAGCTTATTCCTTTTCCAAGTAAATTGAGGCCATTTGAAGCCAATATCAATTAAGCTACAATCATTGATGCAATCACGGAACTCATTAATACTGTCGAAACACACATCACCCCTCCTATTTTTTCGTTATCATTTAAGATGGAAACCGCCCACAATAGTCCAAGCCCTATCCACCGAATCATTCAGAGAAATGAGATTGTCCCATGGGGATCTTCTTTCCTTACGTCTAGGGCTTCCATACACAAAGGTGACACACTCCACTATACTAGAATGCATCCACCTCAGAGAGACATGAGTATATTGACGGTTAACGTCCAAAATGGAGATACCAACCGAAGATTTGTCCCAGATGACCCATATTCCTCCTGAGAACCCTATAGTATCATTAATATAGTAGCCATTAACCCAAGCTGCTTAACTTTTCTAACAGCAGAGGTCCTACTAATTCTAACTTCTGTAAAAAATAACACCTTAATATCATATCTCTAATAAGTGAGACAAAACCCTTTTTATTTGCTCCACGACAATTCCATATACATGTATTCATGGGTATTGTCAAAAAGAAAAAGGGAACAAAAGAGGAAAGGATCCTCATTGTGTGCTGCGGGGCATGCAAGCCCCATGCAACATCTTCTCATCAGCTTCTCTGACTAAGTTAGGGTTCTCTTAGGAGAATCTGTGGAGAAATTCAACGACGTCAGGTGGCTTTTTCGTGGGACTGAAATATGCCTCCTTCATTTCCACTTCTCTTTCAACTATTGTGGTGTTGTTCGAAGGTCCCACTCATTAGTTGATTTTAGGTTAATCCCCTTTGCTTTTTCTCTCCAGCTTTTGTTGACTATTAAGACTTTCACTGGTCACTTTTGCTTTTGCCAATGATAAACTTCCTTTCCCGTGAAGAGTTTTCTCCAATGAATTTTTCTTGTGCTGCATGTTTCCATTTTCTCTTTGGGACACAGCCTTGTATCCGCTACCTTCCCTTTGTCTCATTGCTCACCTACCCTGCCCCCTAGCTTCGTAGTTGGCTGGTGCTGGTTAACTTTTTCCTTGGGATGAGAGAGTCAACGCCGATTTTTTCCTTCCTTCTGCCATGCATTTCGACACTGGTCTAGCTCTTCGGCCTTTAGCATTTCTCTTCACAACCATCCAAGCTCCAAATGCATTTTTCTCGAATTTTTCCTTGTCTCTCATCCCTGCATCTTCATTAGCAGTAGCTTCTGGTTTGTTGATTCCAGCCCTGGTGTCAACATTGCCCCCAGACATGCTTGCACTAGGCGAGACTCCCTAGTTATCCTTCTTATAATCTGAACCTCCATCGGAGGCCTTCTTTTTATGACCATATCTCCCACACGAGAAGCATATGAGATGTAACCCTTCATAGCCAACATTAGGAATGACTTCCTCGTTGTGTATGTAATCTCAGATTTTCAATCTGGATACAAAACTCTTGCGCAAATCTACTTCCACACATATTCTTGCAAACTTGGCTTTATTCGTGTCGCAATCTCCTTCATTTTCTCTCCTGAAAGAAGCCTTATCAACTTTTAGAGTTTTTCCAAAGATATTCCCTTTCCTCCAAAGATGTTGGATGGTGTAAAATTTGGTAGGGAGGCCAGGAATACTTAGCCAGATTACTAGTTTTTTAACCTTCTCATCATAAGGATAAAAAAATGGTCTGCACCTTTGGACAATGGTATAATGGTCTACAACAATCCATGCGCCTTCATGAAGAATGTGGAAATAATCCCTATCGTCATTAATTTGATTAATGAGTAGCCATTATCCAACTCTACCAGTTTGTACTCCCCCATTAAGTTCCATAGTTTTCGTAGTCTAGCCACCAAGAACCGGGTGGCAATCCTCTTCACCATCAGTTTTATAATTAATGCATTCCTCCATTTTTTACAATCTTCCTTGTGTTGCTTTCTCGAAAAGCCATATGGTGGACATAAAGGGTCTTTAATCCCTCCTAGATACACTTCATCTGACATCTCTTATTCATCCTCCTCATTTTCTTTATCTAGTTAACCAATCTTCATTATCACTCTTAGATACATTTTCATCTCCATTTAGACAAAGGGCTTTATCCATGTAGGATACTAGGCATTTGGACTCCCTCTCGAAGCTGGAAGTTGGTTGGTATCTTCCTCCATATCTTGACCCTCACCTGGCTCATTATCCAGCATCTCATCATCCATTGTCTAATCGTTCAGCTCACCAGGCCCTTTCAGTTTTTTCACACTTTGAGCTAGGGCATTTTCCTGCTCCGTCGAGGGTTGTCTCGCCAAAGCTTTGATATTCTCTCCAAACGTCTTCTCTTCAGACATTTTTTTGAAATCATTAATCTTTTGCACGTCTCAATGTAGCTCAGAATAAAAAAGATTTATTAAATTCTTTATTGAAACAGAATAACCCAAAATGAATGTATGGTTAACACATATCTCACAATTTTTTTATCTTAGGAATCAAAAAGACATTTTATTTATGTTTGATCATGTTGAATTTACATGTTTGTTTCTTTATTTTTCAGATCTAATATACATTCAAACAAAACATAGCTATCTAAGATTCGTAGAAATTAAAAAACTAAAACATGGAATGAAACAAATTTTATTATTTTAATTATTATAAAATGTTAATAAATTACAATAACAACAATATTTTAAATAAAATAAGAGGAGAATATTCTTATTACCAAAAAAATTCAATACCAACCCATTAGCTCCATAATTATTATTGGATCAGTATTTTCTCTCTCTTCAAAACTTTTCAGCATTTTCTCTTTGATCCAATGGTGATTATGGAAGTAGTGGGTTGGTAGTGAATTTTTTTGTTAATAAAAATATCCCCCCTTAATAAATAAAAATCACTTTCTTTACTTTGCAAATTAATTGATTAAAAAAGAAAAATACAATTATTATGTTGCATGAAAGATAAAACTCTATCCTACTGACTCATTGAAAGACGTGTCACACTTTTTATTTTTTTTCTTCTTCTTAAACTAATGGGCCTCACTTAAAAATTATATTTGCAAAAAATTCCAAAATCAAACATAGATTTTATAAATCTTACCTAATTTGCCCGGTAAAATTTGTTCAAACCAAACAACTTTTTTTACATTTTTCTACCTAACTTACTTTCTAACTATTTCTCTATTAATTACATTTATTTAGTATTCAAAAAATTTCTCCTCAACCAAACATTCCCGTATAAAAATCGAAATAGGTCTCGTACACCCAAAAGCAAAAGATGCCATGACGTCATGGTATTAGGTATATGTCAGTCATTGTTTCCATTTCTGATTTATAAATAATACATTCAGAAATTGGATTCTCTAAGAAAAAAAAACAAACAGAGAGAGAGAGATGGCAAAGCTATTTGTGAAGCAGGCAAAGCAATATGCAGAAGGAAGGCCAAGTTATCCGTCACAGCTCTTTCAATTCATCGCTTCAAAGACACCGTCACACCACCTTGCTTGGGACGTCGGCACCGGAACCGGCCAAGCTGCAATATCTGTACGTTATCGTTTATCTGCTTAATCTTATCTTCACAATTTGCATTGCTTCCACCAAGTTAGGGTCACGGAGATTTAAAATTAATTTTTTTAATCAAGATCTAACAAATTTATACCTCTGTTCGGTCCTGTTGAACACTATATCTATACCGTATGCAGCTGAGAGATATCTTAGAGATAGACATCCTTGTAGCCAATACTCCAATCACTGCACACAATAATAGTCTTATGGCCAAATGCACAGTATCAATAGTCTTTCGGCCAAATGCAGTGTTGGTACTAATAATAAAAAGGTCAAAAGTGTGTATTTGAAATTTTTAGCCTCTTATCTATATGGATTACCTATAATCCTTCATAGGCCTGAGACTTTGAGATCTTCCGGTTGATGGGATAGGGATCTTGTCCCTTTATCCTCTCTAGATTATATAGTTGTGATATTAGATTATATAGTTGTGATATTCCTATCCAATCTTGCTACTGATAGAATTGTTAGGATATGAATCTAGTCCATAACAACCTCAAATCCAACTTAATTTATCGAGTGAATTGACTGGTAAAGCGATATTTTAGTTATTCAATACTCTCATGTTTCAATCCCTATGACGCATTAAAATCTATTGGGTATGTTTTTACCCAATCGAATCAGATTAATTGAGTAATCTACAAATCTATGGATAGTTAAACATGTATTTATAAGAATGATAAATTTAATAATTATTTAAAACTATAGTTAAAATTTATATTTGTATCTTGATGCGTTTATTTGAACTTGTATTCAATGCTTTTGCTGTGATGAAAATTAATTTGTAATTACAGTTAGCTGCAATATACAAGAATGTCATAGCCACAGATGCAAGTGATAAGCAACTTGAATTTGCAGCCAAGCTCCCTAATGTGCGTTACCAACATACCTCTTCAACCATGACCATGGCCGAGCTTGAACAAAAGGTGTCACCTCAGGGGACCGTAGATGTTGTGACAATTGCCCAAGCCATCCACTGGTTTGACCTCCCAACCTTCTATGAACAAGTCAAGTGGGTTCTCAAGAAGCCTCAAGGAGTCATCGCTGCTTGGTGTTACAATTTGCCAAGAATTAGTGATGAAGTAGACGCTATCCTTGATCGACTTTATCTTGATTCAGGGCCTTATTGGGATCCAGCACGCAGATGGGTTGATGACAATTATAAAAACATTGATTTTCCATTTGAGCCTGTGGATGGAGCTGATCACACAGGACCCTTTGAGTTTGTGATAGAGAGAGAGATTGATTTGGATGGTTTCTTGACTTACTTAACATCATGGTCAGCATATCAGACAGCAAAGGAGAAAGGAGTGGAAATTCTTCGGGAAGATGTAATTGAAAAACTCAAGCTTGCTTGGGGTGAAGATGCCAAAAAAATTGCTAAGTACCCAGTTTATCTGAGAATTGGAAGAGTATCGGGGGATGTCTGAAAATATGCAAATGGTTAATTCCATGGTCTGTCCTAGAGGGAGGTAGGACAAGTAACATCTTTTATCCATTGATTAAATAATTTAGCTTCATTTATACTATTTGAGTCATTTGGTTAACTGTTAAGGATGGATGAAGTAATAAGCATAAATTCCAAAGAGGGAAAACCTGTCCTAATGTATCTGAAAAGAGTTGAGCTCTTCTTCTTTTGTTTTGTTTATGTTGGTAATTTTGTATTAACAAATTCCAATAGCATGGTGGTAAAAGTGATAATGGAGTTTTCGGGTCTTTTAGTGGTTTTGAAAAAGATTTAAAGATGTATTGGATTAAGATTTTAAAAGAAATTTTTAGGATAAAAATCCTATGGATTTTAAAAATTTGTAAGAACAATATGAACTTATATGACTTTTTTAAGAGATCCTTTTTACAATGAAGATTTGACAAAGATTGGATTTAAAGGATTTTAATAAAAAAAGAACAAATGGACAATATGATGGTTTTAAGATTAGAAACGACAGTATGAACTAACCCAAATACTTTAATCATCAAATTTCAACTAAAGCATAGAAAAAATATAGTTCCACAAAGCCCAATATGTTATATGATCACCATATTAATCATCATAACTTGAAATTTATCCAAGACAAGCGTTCATCTATTGACATCTTCAAGAACAAATCCTTCTTTGCTTTTGTATTAAGTAAATCAACTTCATCCAAATTTGGAATCTCTTTTTTTCTATCTCTCTCTTCTCTCCATTAGGTCAAATATTCTTTCAAAATTGCTAGCAATAATCACAATGCCAATAGAAATATTTTATAGAACTTTAGCTTGATTGCTGATACCAATTGAGGTAGAATTCTTTTTATATTCGAATCTAACTTGGTTTTTCGATGCGAACCCTTGAATCGCAAAGGGGAATGAGAAGGTGGACTACCTTGGTGGGGGTAATGGAGGATAGGAGAGTGGTTCTTAGTCAGTTGGGGCAATGAAGGCATCATCATTAGGATAACATGAAAAGTCGTCAAAACTAAAATCTCTATTTTCTTCTCCAAAAGATGTTGCATCCGTATCGTTAGTCCCTAATGCAATTGGATGAGCATAGCAGACCTAGATTTAAACACCTTATCCTTTGTCCTTTGTACGACATCATCTCTTAACTCAAACAAAATTTCCATCTATCAAAGACAAAATGAAAGGTCATGTGTTTTGAGTCTGAAAAACAATTTGTTTAGAAAAATACAAGGGTAAAACCATGTACAATCAACTCTAACCACTACCTTCGCAAGGCGCAATGGGGTTTGCCCTTATTTATAAGATAAAATGAAAATTTCTTGTGTATTTCTTAGATAATATCCAAATATTATTACATCATTTTAGAAAATGAGATCTACATACCTCAGGCCAGTTATTGCTTAAAAAAAAATTTCATTAGCTTTCCATATTTTGCCAATTGACCCAAATAATTTGGCTATAAGGTTTCCATCTTCTTCTGTTGCAGCTCCCCCCAAGCTGATAACTGTCATAGTTTAACTTAAGTTAATCTATTCAAGAAACTCTCCAACTGCCAACAATGTGAATTGATTAAGAAAGAAATGCAACAAGGAATATCCATTGTTTTGACGAATAATACACAAGATACAGAATTACCATAATGTGCAAGAGAAGGCATTCTTGCTCTGGTAATTTACGAAAGGAGCCCTCTTCATAATTGAGATTATTTACCCACGCAATTCGAGCATCCAACTTTCAAGCCCACTCTTCATAAAAGTGAAGAACAAAACCAATATATAGCAGACTATAATAATTTTATCACATTTGTTTTCGTAAGATTTTGTAGTTAGAAATATAAAGAAGTTTTCAACAAGCAAGTGATAGACTAATGGCATCAAAATTAACTTTTGAACCAAAGCTCTTGAGCAAAAAGCGATAGTATTAAGTATAATTGACAGTTTAGAATTCAGAAAGTCAATTATGCAACTACGAAGTTATACAAAAAAGTCACACAGCAAACGTTCTCAACTCTAACTGAAGAACAAAACACAATATGCTCTTTAAAGAAAGGTAATACCTGATGCTGCCTCACCAACACCAGCAGGAGTATTAGGCATTACCCTTATAAATATGTTGTGCCCGGCCCATTCCTACATTTTATGAAACAACCATTTCCATAAAAATATGTAAGGCTAAGGAAAAGCTACTTGCACAAAAATTAATAGTTGTTAAGCAAAAGAAAGTATGAGAACATAAAAGTTTCATTTACAGCTTAGCTACTACCTTTCTATGCACCTTGCTTGAAATGGGTAGCACCACTAGAGCACATCCATGATTCACAGCTGCGTATGGTTCGGTTTAATTCGCCAAACATAATCCCTGCTGGCAGGCCACCTGAAGGATATTCTATAGACTTCTGTTGATGGAATCAAACAAAATAAGGGCCTTCCAAAGTGTCTATGCACTTCTTCTTTTCTCGAAAGAAAGATAAAGATTTGGGATCAATGCTGCAATGTAGGAAAACATCGTAGCAGGAAATGTATCCATTGACCGTCAACCGCCTTTTCAAAAGTAAGTCACACCAATTTCATTAGAAAATCTCGAAAGCCCACAACAGTCGGAAACAACTTTTTTATATCAATCATAAACGAAAACCACATCGGGAGTTCTGGACAAAACTGAGACATATTTATAAGGAAGCGTTGGGTGAGAGGGTACGACCTTACTTGAACAGGATCTGTTCTATAGGCTCGTACCTCTGTATCCTTGAGTTCTAAGGAGACAGGAACCTAAGTCTGGTGGATGACTCAGGACCGTGTGATTTGAGCGTGATTAATGACCGTGTGATTCCCACTTCGGGGGGAATCATCCTCGGTTGTAGAGGATCGTTCCCAGCTAGTGTAATCTGGTTGGGTGGATCACTCGGTTGTCTGACAGACTATGAATTTTTTTTTCATTCAACATTATATTAAAAAACAGACAGATCCCACAAAAAAATTCAACAAAGAAAATTTCATAGTAAACAGATCCCTCCAAAAACAAAAACAAAAAAAAATGATTTTTTGAGAAAGGAATGGCGTTGATTACCTTACCTCCGAAAGGACTGAATCTCGGTTAGCATGTAGTATACTTTTGCTTACACGGCCCATGAAAGCCAGTTTGTGGTTCATGCTGAACATGTTTTATTTTTAGTAGAAATGTAGGAAGTGGAAACAGTAAGGGAGTGTGTACCTTCCCTCTCTTAAAGATAACTTGCAGAATTTCCTTCTTTAAAGCAAGCACATCCATACTCCATACTATGATGCAATACAACAAAGAAAGTTCAAGACGACAGTGCTTTGTGCTTGAGTTGAACAAACAGAAAAAGGCTGTTGTTCATGACCATTTGAGGTAGGGGAGTTGCCACGTCTACAAGCGTACTTCAACATTGCGAAATAGGCCAGGTGGCATATTTTGGGCTTTCAACATTCCACACGCTTTTATGTTGCAAGATAGGACCCATTAACATAGACATGCAGCAAATTGATTAGATTTCCTCCAAAAGGACACAGCCCAATCATACAACCCCTTACATGATGGACATAAACTTTTTTGTAGGTTTATTTTTTTTTCCACGATGTTACATGATAAACCCTTGGTTCATGTTTTTAAGCATGAATTAATATCAAATTGTGTGATTAAATGGATGAAAAAGAGGTTAATGTCCTGGAAATCTCTCAAATACAAGTTCTGAAGCTTATGTTGAAAATTTACATTGTTTTTGTAGGAAAATGAAGCTCAAGAAGCAAAAGAGAGAAGGAAGAAGATTCTGAAGAATGGGAAAATTCTAAGTGTTGGGCGCTAAAACGCCCAAAACTGGGCGTTTTAGCGCCCTGCTACACAAAAGATGCTGGTGCTGAACATTAAAACGCCCAAAACTGATCGTTTTAGCGCCCAAGACAATTAAAAGCAGTTGGGCATCCGTCAAGGTTGAGCGCTAAAACATCCAGAAATGAGAGTTTTAGCGCCCATGTCAGTTTTCAGTTGTAATTTGTAAATTATAAAAGGACAAGGGGCCTTCATAAGAAAAAAATGAGATGCAACTCTCTCATATCCATTCTCTGATATTCTGACTTTCCCCATCACACTAGGAGAAGGGAGATCAGGTCAGATCTTTCATAGATCTGATCTGACTCCTCATTTTCTCTGACTTTCCAAATTCTTAGGACTTAATATTGTAATAGTTAGTATACTTTCATGTAATTGTACTTGAAGATTGAAGACTCAACTATCATGACAATGGAGTTTGATCTTTCTTCTTCTTCTCTTGTTATTATTTGTATTATGTCTGAGTAGAGTCCTTTGTAGTCTGATTCAATGGAACTCAAGTTTGAATTTATGAATGGTTAATTAGATGTTTTCTTTATCTATTATGTGATTGTATGGAGTTGTCTTGATTAATTCTTCATGTTGAGGAATAGTGTAGAACATACATGTTTACATTGTTTCTCTATTTTTGACAACTTCATCATTAGTGTTCTAGTAGTCAAGGGATTGATGCTAGGATTCTGATGTGTTCTTAAGACCTTAGTAATTAATGCATGTATTAAGAAATGAATCACCAAGGGATTGGGGTTTCTGATTAATGTGTCTATCAGGGTAGTAAGAGATTACATCTTGAGATGATAAGAAAAAGGTTGATCAACATCACATAGTAGATAATTCATAATGGAAATTGGTTCATCTATAAATTCATGTTTGAGGGAAAATGACATCTGACTACTTGTTTAAATTATAAGTACATTTTATTTGTTTTATCAAATCTTAATTTTATGCAATTCAACTTTATTTCTGGTGACAAGAAATCAAGCAATCAATGATCTTTTGGTTGATTCAACTCAAATACATATGGTTAGTCGGTGCTTGACACAAATCCTCGTGGGAACGATCTTTACTCATCATTTTATTACTTGTACGACTAGTACACTTGCTAGATCCGCAACATTACACAAAAATATTTGAGTGTATTGTGGAGGTTGGAAAAAAATATTCACTTGGTAGGAGGTAAAAAATAAATTGACTGGAAAAAAAGGGTAGGTAAAAATATATGGCCATGTTTGGTAGAAGGAAGAGTTAAAAAGGGGTTGGACAAATTTTTTTCCCATTTAATTTTTTTACACATGAACCAAGAGTAAAATTTTATCATGGACATAACATCAGTAAAATTCATCCAATTTTTTCGAAAAAATTTTGGCCTACCAAACACATTTTTTAACTTACCCAGCAAAAAATGCTTCCCAACATATTCTGAGCA